AAAATAACAAAAAAAATCTAACAATAACTAGACGATATTAATAAAAATAAATATATATATATACACATAAATATATTGAAAACAAATATATATTTAAAAATTAAAATCTACTAGGTTAGGTGAAAAAAACACCTAACCTCAAAAAAAAATCTACTAAGTACAATTAACAAAAAAACTCTCGCAATCAAATTTTAAATGGAACCGTAACAAAAAACGAAGTTATTGAATATTATTATTACAGAAAATTAAAAAAAAAAAAAAATAAAAAATATATATAAGCATAAAAAATTATTTTTTTAGTTCTTTTATTTTGTATTTTTATTTTTTGTAGCAAATAAATTAATTATTATTATTGTTGTTGTAGCAAGCAAAAAAAATATTACAAAAAAATTGTGTTAGTAAAAAATATTTAAAAAAATATAATATATATTTATGTATAACTTATATGTTAGTCTTGAGTCTGAACATTCTTTTTTTAATGGTCCTCTAAATTGTATTCATCTTCTTCTTCCTTATTTTACTCTTAAAAAAATATTGTCTAAAACTAAATATATATATTCACTTGTGTTTCTTTCTCCAGCCCCGCGAATTGGTATTAAATGTATATTATCAATGATATACATATGTAATTAAATTATAATAAAAAAACAAATCCTAACGAGAACAAAAAACAAACAACTAAAACTTGGAGTTTCATTTTAAAAATTGAAATGGGGATTTAATTTTTATAAAAAAAAAATATTTTTTTATAAAAAAAATAATTTAGTTGCCCACACTCGGAAAACCTCTTCTACTATGAAAAAGAAAACCATAACACCCCCCCCCCCCCCCCCTAATGTTGATGACCCCCGCAAACGTATAAAGGACCACGATCTGCGAATCTGCACTTAGAATGTGTGTACAGAACAGGTGCAGTTTTCGCTTTGGTGGATGTACTCAAGAAGTACAAAGCCGACATTATTGCCTTACAGGAAATGCGATGGAAAGGGGCTGGCGTAGGTAAATCAGATGATTGCGCACTGTATTATAGCTGCCAAGAAACAGGACGTGAATTTGGTTGCGGATTTATGGTTAATACGAGAATAAAAGACCTCGTCTCCAGATTCACTTCAGTAGATGAGCGAATTGCTATAATCCGCATAAAAGAGAAGTTCTTCTACATCAGTCCTATTTGCGTCCATGCTCCGACCGAAGACAAAGATGAGCAGACCAAAGATTTTATGAGCTCCTAGAAACAGCATATGATCGCTGCCCTGGCCATGACATTAAAATTCTGCTAGGAGTTTTTTATGCAAAAATCGGAAGGGAAACATTTTTTTTTGGTCCCACTGTCGGAAATTTCAGCCTTCTTGAAGAAACATCCGACAACGGCATGAGGTTGATTGACTTCACGGCAGCAAAACATAATGTAGTTAGCAGCACCAGATTCAAGCATCTCGATATACCCAATGCTACCTGTATTTCTCCTGATCAACCAACGAGAAATCAAATTGATCATGCTGTGATAGACAGAAGGCATTCGTCCAGATCATATCGATTCAGACCATTACCTTGTGGCAGCCAAGGTACACCCGTCTTAATTTAGCAGCAAAGGTGCGATCTAATGTAACACGGAAACTCGATGTCGAAAAGCTGCAAACACAACAGATAGCAGAAGCCTACTCCGCTCAACTTGCCCAACTGCTTGACGAAAGCAAAGAAATGCCCACTTCCTACAAACTGCAGCAAAAGCAACACTTGGGTACCAAAGACCACCATCAAGAAATCCGCGGTTCGATCAGGAGTGTCGTAATGCTACTGATATGAAAAAACGCAGCTTATAGGACAACCCTGCAAGACGTAATGTGATGGAAAACTATCGGGAGAAAAGGAGAGAGGAGAAACATATTTTCAGAAAAAAAGAAGAAAGAACAAGAAAAACGTCAGCGTATCTACGAACGGGTAAATCACCAAACCGAAGGCTTTGGTGCAGACACATGTTTAAAACTATTTCTGCTTTTGGCATTCCTGCAAAATTAATTCAGGCACAAGATCAGCAGTTAAAGTGAGAAAGGACTTCTCGGAGCCCTTTAATACCGAACGAGCATTCAGACACGGTGATAGTTTGTTGTGTGAACTTTCTAACATCCTGCTGGAAAAGGTCATACGAGACGCCAATGTGAACAGAAATGGCTCAACATTGTTAGACGTATTGAGCTGCAGCGACTACGTTGTCTAGGTCATGTTGTGAGAATGGATGAAGATGCCCCAGCCCAGAAGGTATATAAAAGCGAACCAGCAGATGGTACACGCAGAAGGGGAAGGCCACGAATACGATGGAAAGATAAAGTCGAAGACAACATTGCCGAAAATGCTCTTTCAAATTGAAAAAACTGCGCAAAAGACCGACGCGCCTGGAAATCTTTTTTAAGCTCGGCTTATGGAATGAAAGTTCTGTCACAAGTCAGCTAAGTAAGTATTAAAATTCTTCCACTCTCTATTTCTAATCACAACAAAGCATATTCGCTTTCATTGATTTTTAAAATAATTTATGCCAATTAATATATTTTTTGCTAATAAATATCGATCATATTTTAATTATAAAACATTTTGTATTTTACCGTTACCGAAATATAAATGACTACCCACGTAAATACTTCTATGCTCTCATTAAACTCTTCTCCATTTTTCATCTATAATTTTCAAGTAATTCTTGAATTAGTGACAACACTAATAAAGCCTCTCACTTATTCTCTCTCACACACACACTTTTTGCTTTTAGTAACGGACACGAATCTCTTTTGTTGACAACGATATCACATTTTGCATTTAGCCAGGAACAAAATGTAAATGACAAACCACGTCAATCCATTTAAACTTTCAACACACTTAAAATGTCACCTTCCTTCAATCTCTCCATTTGTCATCTATATTTGCACATAATCCTTTGATTATTAACAACATAACTAAACCTCTCTCACTCACTCCCTCTCGCACTCTTTACGATAACGGACACGAATCTCTTTGGTTGACAACGATCATCACACAAACAGAGACACACACAATCAAGCGTCGTATATATTTGCACATAATCCTTTGATTATTGACAACATAAATAAGCTTCTCTCTCACTCACTCCCTCTCGTACTCTTTATGATAACGGACGCGAACCTCTTTGATTGACAACGATACCGCACAAACAGAGTCGCACACAATCATGCATCGAAAACTTTGGAAACAGAAATTGCATACAACCGACAATATTTACATTAAAAACTATATATTTATTAATTAATTAATTAACTATATTTAATTCTTTGATTTCTTTACACAAAATTGCCGGCTATATACAAACACACCCATGCACATTCATACTATTTACACTTTGCTTTTCCCACAGAACGACATACCCTTTTCTTGCTTGGGCTTTCTTTCCTTTGCTATACAAGGAAATCATAATTTTTCATTTATTAACATTATTAATTATATTTCACACACATTATTATATAATTTGCTTTTAAATTTTCTCTATAAATTTATTAAATTCTTATTTAAATCGTGGTTTTAAAAAACTTCTTATAGGACAAACGAAATGTAACGCCGTGCAATTGCGCGCAAACTGATTATGTCAATTTTGGTGTTGATTGACATATGATTGATGACCGTTGAAACAGGTAGCAGTGTTGTACACTGTAGCGTTTTGTAATAGAAATTGCGTTTTTTAGATTTTCTTTGTTTTGAAGTTCTAAACGGATTTTACAGAATTTTATGATAATTTTTATTGAATATTATCTAAAGAATAGAGAAATTCTTATTTTAGTTGTCGTTTGAAGGATTTTCTTTTAGGTTGAACGAAATGTAAAGCCGTATAATTGCGCGCAAACTGATTACGTCAATTTTGGTGTTGGTTGGCATGATGATTGATGACCGTTATGACAGGCAGCAGTGTTGTACCTTGTAGCGTTTTTCAATACAAATAGCGTTTTTTTAGATTTTCTTGAATAAATTTAATTTTTGTTATTTTTAATAAAAAATATTTAAAAAAAATAATAATGTTTTTAAGAAATCCACGCTTTGTGGTGATATTATTTCAAAAATTTGTTTAAATCCATTTTTTTAATTCTACCCATAGAAAAATTTTTTAAAATTCCATTTTTTTGGAAAAATAATTTTTTATAAAATCAAATAAATTTAAAAAAAATATATCCCCACCTTGAAAATTTTTCTTTATAATATACAAGAAATATTTTTTTAAAAGTCCACACCACCTTAAAAAATATCTTTTAAAAAATTATTTTTTATAATAAAATCCAAAAAAAATATTTTTTAAAAAATCCACGTTTTGCAAGGATACATCAAAAACATTTTTTTTTTAATATTGAAAAATATTTTATAAAAAAAATTCCCCAAAATAATAAAAAAAAACTTGTTTGTTTTTTTGTTCTAAAACTAACAGTTTATTATATATCTTTATTCAATATTATTTTCAATAGTGATTTGCAATGAATATCGAAAATTGAACTGTATACATAATAATGGTATTTGTTGTTTTAAATGAATTCGTATCGAAATTAAGTAAAAAAATATATATATGGTGTGTGGCAGAGCTCATAAGGATCATGATGCACAGCAAAATACTGAAAATGATTGGAAATGAGACAAAGAAGAAAAAAATACAAAACGTTACAATGGACTGTGAATGATCGTGTCGACTTAAAAATACAATAATTTATAAATACAAATCAAATTCATAAATAGAAAAAAAATTAAATATTTAAAATGGACAATGATGACAAAAATTGTGGAGAGCTGTTGTAGCTTGGTTTCAAAATTTGTTTTTTGTTATGACATAAGTTTTGCTCCTTCGTATGAATCGCACGCAGCTGTATACTAAATATTTTTGTTTTAGCATTTTCTTCTTGTAAATGCATAGAGGTTCCGTTTTTTATTTATATTTTTAATAGATTGCTTATATCGCGCAATGATAACTCTCGATAAGTTGTGGTATTTTTTCCTCACCCCTAATCATCAATGGTGTATTCCGGCAACTTGTCATATTTCGCTTTGGTGCCCTCATGATCGGTATCGACCAACAGAACGGTGTGTGAATAGCCCATGGTCACCTGAGGTATTTTCATGCTATCCATTTTCGGCACTTCCTTAGGAACTGTGGAAGACTTTTGGAATTCACCGATACCCAGTTCACCATAGGTTGGTGAGGCACCCCAGGCAATGAGGGTATCATCGGCCGATATAACAATTGAGGTATTTGAACAGCCAACGGCTGTGATATTCCAGCCCGACAAATCTTGTACTGGTTTCGGATACATATTGGCTTCGCCGGTTTTCTTATTTTGACCAAAGAGGAAGAGGACGCCCAGCTCATTGACCACCAGACTGTAGGTGGCGCCACAATAAACGCTGCGGCCACCACGACCTTGGATATCAAAGAATTTAATTAAACGTGGTACCATTTCATCTTTGGGTTCAGCATGGCCCAAACGGCCGAAGCCACCAAAGCCCCAGCTGTACACACGTTTCTTGGAATCAATGGCCACCTAAAAAAAGTTACGAAATTAGTTTCCATTACAAAAAATTGAATAATAAAAATTCTCTATCTTACCGTGTGATTATTACCACAGGCAAAGTCCACGATCTGTACATTATCGACGGGTGTGACATGACCTTCTTTGCTCTTCTCAATGTAAAGCACAATTTTCTTGGGCGATGTTTCAAAATGGAATGACAATTTATTGGCATTTACAAAATACTTGGCATCGGTGTTATGACCCAGCTGGCCATATTCAGGCAACCCAAAGGTGTGCAGATTACCCTTGATATCCAAAATCACGGAGAATTCTGCACCACAACCGATGCGTATAATTGGTGGACCACGATAATTGATAAGAGTTGGTGTGGCCACGGTGGGCGTTGTATTGCCAATGCCACACTGGCCGGACTTATTGTCACCGCAAGCAAAGACCCGACCCGTATCGGTAAGAAATAGCGAATGATGACGTCCGACAGCAGCCTGTACGATGTTGATATTTTCCAATGCTGGAATAATAGTGGGTTTTTCGCATAACTTAGTGTCGGGTAAACCCAATTGACCGGATGGATTACGACCAAAGGCCATTGCTTTACGGTCCATATTAATCAGAATTGTATGAGCTGCCGAACAACTGCTGGCAATGAAGCGGTACTGGAAATGAAAACGAAAAGGGGAATTTTTAAAAAAATATTGAAAAAAAAAATAAAAAAATATATTGAAAAAAAAATAAAAAAATATATTGAAAAAAAAAAAAAAAAAAAAAAAAAAAAAAAAAATAAAAAAAAAATAAAAAAAAAATAAAAAAAAATTAAATTACAAAAAAAAATGTTAAAGAATAAAAAAATATTTTTCCAACAACCTTACAAATCGTTGATTTTTTAAAAAATATTTTTTTATAAAAACAGTATTTAAAAAAAACAATCCACGCCTTTGTGTGGTTGCTTGAAAAAATATTTTTTTATAAAAACAGTATTTTAAAAAAATAATCCACGCCTTTGTGTGGTTGCTTAAAAAAATATTTTTTTAAAAAATCCACGCCTGGCGAGTCTGCTTACAAAAATTTCATTTTGAAAAAAATATTTTCTAAAAAATTCCAATTTTTAAAAATATTTTTTCAAAATGGATTTCAGAACATATTTTTTAAAAATGTAATTTTTTTAGAAAATATTTTTTTAAGGAGCTTTTAAAATAATATTTTTTTTAAATGGAATTTTTTAATTTTTTTTAAATGGAATTTTTTAAAAAATATTTTTTCAAAATGGAATTTTTTAGAAATATTTTTTCATGTACTATATAACAGCATCGATTTTTTAAGAATAATTTTTTTTTCATTTAAAAAATGTTTCAAAACGAATTTCAAATCCCCTTACCTTTTCATCCGTAAAACGATGGAAACTGTACAAATTTGGACGAACTTTAACGACATTTTTCCGATCACGTTTACCAGTCAAATCCCAGGTGACCATACCGGCTATCAACATTTGACCCGGTGTCTTTTCCATAGATGCTAACAAATCATCGGGTAATTTTGTTGGTGGATCTATTTCATCGTTAGGTATTAACACCTCAACTTGATTCGATGATGATTGACCTTCTGCGTCGGACTCATCACTGACCTCATCCTCGTAGTCGGATTCTTTTTTCTTGGGACGTCTTTTGTTTGGTCCATTACCATTACCACCAGCTTTACGTTTGGCCGACATTATAATGAAAACAAGTAAATGGCTATAGAGAAAAAGAAAGAAAAAAAAAACAAAATAAAATTAATGAAAGATGAAGAAACAGAAAAGGAAGGGAACAATAAAAAAACCAAGAAAAAATTGCAAGGGTTTCCTTTACAAAAAAACTGGAAGACAAATGCATAGAAAACATAAGACTTCGGGTTGTAATGATTAAAGGTATCCAACTAAGTTTACATCGGGTTTGGCAAACCAATTCAAAAATGTTGTTTAAAATTCTCCACAGAATAACATACTGTAAAGATAATTAGTATGTTTGTTTGTACGTTGTTGCTGCTTGATAGCTTGCTGCTGTTTGTAATAAAGCGTTTGTTTGGCCAGTCAACGGATGAATGGATGCACACAGCTGCAGAGTAAGGGAGGGGGTAAGAGACACAAACAACAACAACAAAAAGCAGCGTTTGTGTAAGTGGTTCAACAAGAATACAAAATGAAGAATTTTATTGTTGTTTGCCAGCAGCAGCAATCACCGAAATGGCATCAAAACAAATAAATAACCAGATATTTTGCAAAATAAATCATGATGCGGGGAGCTTGTTCCCAAGACTTTGTCTGGAGCATGCAAAATTTTGTTTGTTGTTGTTGTGTTTTGTTTCTTCGAAAAAAATACCATATAGCGTTGGTGTACCGATACTGACGCCGCTGCCGCCACCACTGCAAAATGACATTCATTTTCTTTTTTGTTTTGCACAATCTTGCTTACAAACATATTTACAAGTATTTGCGAAATGATAATTGTTTATTTGCTATTTTATTTCTTTTCGTACTTACGTTTTTCTGTTGTTTTATGTTGGAAATTCCTTGCCGTGGATGCCTTTTGTTTGAAAACAAAAAGAAAATGATGCAGAAAATTCAAAGAATTGAAACCAAATAGACGCAAACAGACGCACTCTCCCTCTTACCGATGAATCGCGGCAACTGCTGTCTAGGGATATATAAATCGACTTTAGACTAATCGATTAATCGGCTTTGTTTTGTGTTATCGCAAATGCCATAAATTGGGACAGGGTTGTATTTGGTGAGCAAAAGTGAATTTTGTTATAACAGCTTTAAAATAATAAAGCTGTTATACAAAAAACACTATTCCTAGCTGATGCTTGATATTTATACTACGTTTACACAAGACAGAAAGGTTGTGTGCATATATATTAAATTGACAAAAAAATTAAAACATTTGGTCTGTTCTCGTACTGCAAGAATCTACGAGTTTTTACTTTTTTTTCGATATCATAAAGGGTTGTATTTTGTGAACAAAGGTGTATTTTTTATAACAGTTTAAAAACAAAATTAATTAAATTTTTATACAAATAACACCATTCACAAATGGTGCTTAATTTTTACACTACGTTTACAAAAGACAGGAGAGTTGAGTTTATATTTTAAATTACTTACTTAGCTGGTTGTTAGCAGAACGGTTGTTCCTGCACCAAAGCCTTTGGTGTGTTGTTTTACTCGTTGGTAAAATTTCCAGACTTCACTCTGACTCCTGTTCATCTCGATTTGCTCGCGCTTATGTTTTTCTTTTTTTTTGAAAATACGTTCTCCTCTCTCCTTTTCTCCCGATAATTCTCCATCGACGTAAAAAAGCGTCAATATTTTTGACATTTATCTTGTGAAATGACAGCTGACTCATGGACCTTATTAATAGATATGGATTTATACGTAAACAAATATCTGCTGATCCACAATTTTTTTATTATTTTACTACTAATAGTACGTCCACATTTAACCAGATTTCGTTAACCCAGTGGATTTCAATTGTCGATTCCTTTGCATATATGTCAAATAAATCCTCATAAAGTAGGTTAAGCCGTTAAAAACGCTTTGTTATAATTCCACAACTTTTAAAATTCAGCTACTTGTTTCTAATTTTATTTTTTTATTTATCAAGAAATTGAAAAAAAATTAATTGCATATAAAAAAATACATGATAAATAAAATAAATATTTTATATCTATATTTTGAAGATATTACACTTCTCAATATAACGAACATATTCCGGTCCAAATAGATAAAATAAGACCATAAATTAATTTACCACTGGCCCATAATGAATCACCACTGTTACACAAATTTCCTTTGCATACAAAACATTTTTCAACAGCATAATTTACCGAGACATCATTGCATTTAAAATCTTGGAAAAATTTTATCGAGCCTTTATGACAGCCGCGTGATAATACTGTTGTTTCACCTGAAATTTGTACAAAAAAGGATTGAATATGACAAAAATTGAATATATTTTAAAAAAACTACCATCAAAATATAGCCTTTTCAGACATCCTTTTGTTCCGGCATCACAAGTTTCTATCAAATGGGTGTTATTTGGATTAATGTCATTACAGCCCTCATCGGTTATATTGAAACATTTATAGCAGGATATTACATCTTTCTTGGAATTGAAAACGCTGCTTACAACAGTGTCCATAACATCTAAAATTGAAAAAACGTGTTTAGATTTGTGAAATCTATTCGATCATAAATGTCAATTCCATAGCGTATACGTCAAATATAACCCACTGGATTTGTGACAAGGTTTAACGTGACATATAGGCCATGGAATTGACGTTTGAAATCAAGTGGATTTTGTATTCGAAACCCGCTCTAATTGTTCCGTTTCAGATTTAGCAAGATTTTTTATAATCACATTTACACCGAACGTAATTAATGATAAAATTAAAATATTTTCCCAGTTTTTGTATGCGAACCCACACAAAATATTTTATTACCAGCACGATTTAATTCCACAAAGAAAAGGAGGCCCAAAATCACCAGATAATATTTCATCATTATGCACGACCGACTAAGAAAAAAACACACCCGTATAAGTCCAACAATATAATCGTTACTGATGCCATATTTCACATTTCTATTTATTTCTTATAAATTCCAACACATACCATCGCTTGTAAAAAAATAATTATTTAAAAATATAACAACAACAATTTGTTGATTCATCCAACCGCAATCTTCGTATAAATCTATTCTTATTTTATATTTCATTCAAATATATCTGTCATTGTACTACTATGCAATCGATGGATATTTCACATATCATTGTACTGTTGTCCCTGATAAAAACAAATGTTTCTAAATATAATTTTGTTGATTCAATTTAACCGCAACAGTCTGTGGTAGCCATTATGTCGCCTAAGTATAAATCTGGTTTTATCTTCTGTTGTTGCCGCCGTCAAAACATGTTGACGACGTAACGATTGTTAAGTTATCGATTAGTTCATTGATTGTATATAAAGGCCCATTTAACATGTCAACAAAGGGGCCATTTTAATTGAAATAAATTTTATGAATTATTAATATTAGATTATTGTAGAACATGCAAGACTCTTGATTTAATTTAACCGCAACAGTTTGTGGTGGCCATTAAGGGCTAAACAGAATGTTCGCGTTGAGCGTTTTTGTTATCGCGTTAACGCACGCAAAAAGTTAAAATATATTTAACTTCAAAACGCAGCGCACATCAAACAGTTTGTGGTGGCCATTATATCGCCTGTTTATCTTGTTTTATCTTCTGGTGTTGACGCCGTCTCCATTTAGCTACTTGAATTCGATGTGCAATGTTGCCAACCATGTGAAATATTATAAAGAAATATTTGACAGAGGGTCGAGACAAAACAAAGGTTTTTTTTGATACATCACCTTATTATTGCATCGTGGTCGAGACTAAAAAAAGGTTTTTGTTTTGATACATAACCTTATTATTGCATCTATACATAACCTATATTTTGCATCATAACCTTATTATTGCATCCTTATAATATTTCATATGGTTGGCAACATTGCACATCGAATTCAAGTAGAAATTACGCACTTTGTCAGTTAATGAGTCAACAGCTGCACTAAATGGAGGGGTGATTTTTTAAAAAATATTTTAAATGGTCCTCAGCAAACTCAGATTTTTTTCAGATTATTTTCGAAGACTACAGTTGGAGTGTTTTTTAAGTTTTTTTATTGATTATCAGCAGATCTAGATTTTTTAAAAATATTTTTAAAAAATCCATCCTTATAATGGACCTTAGAAACATATTTTTTTAAAAAAACGATGCTAATGACAAAAAATGTGTATTTAAAAAACACGCTTAAACATCATGTCAAATAAATGACATATATATGCAATGAAATTGACAATTTAAACCCATTGGGTTAACAAAAATGCAAGGGTGACTGAATTTACATACGAAATTTATTTTAAATCACCCTTGCAGTATTTGGAACAAAGCAGGCATTCGGTTCGGTTTTTCCTATAAAATTTTTCAAAAATTTCCCACTTTTATTGTACGGGAACACAACATATATGCCTACTTCAATGCCAAAGTCATTTAGACAAAAGTCGATCTATGTAACCCTAGTTGCTGTGGTCTGTTTACCTGTATTACGAGGAATTACTAAACCAATCAATTTCTTTTTTACCTAAAACGACATTTAAATACGGAATTTTTGTAATGTTTTTGTATTCCAACGTATAAAAAGTCTTCAGTGGTTGATGGTCGCAATCTATTTCGTATAAAGACGCAGCCGCTGCTTCACCATGAAAATCAACGAAAAGAATCTGTGTGTTTTTGCTTCAACTCCACCATACGACAAAGAAGGATTCCTCTACAAGAGGGGAGAGGTCAACAAGGCATTCCAGAAGCGTTATTTTGTGCTCAAGGGAAATTTGCTGTTCTATTTTGAGAAGAAGGGCGACAAGGAACCATTGGGCCTTATAATTGTTGAAGGTTGCACAATAGGTGAGTTCACTGTGCCATATTGGTTGTGGTGGCTAATATACTATTTATAAAAATTTTGCGTGATGCTTACTCATTGAAACACTTTTGTGTGTGTTTGTTTGTTTCTCCCAATTTAGAATTGTCCGAAGAAAGTGATCAATATTGGTTTGAAATTGCCTTCAATGGAAATCGTACATATATTCTGCAAGCCGAATCTCAGGAAAGTATGGAGTCCTGGATGAAGGCCCTAACGTGTGCCGGTTATGAATATAAAAAACTAATGGTTGATGAATTACAACGACAGCTGGAAGAAATTGAAGGTTCTCGGAATAGTAAGTTGTAAAGAATCAAATTAATGAAATCTATTTTCTTTAAAAAAAATTATTTTTTCTAGAAATAACAACAGAGACTGTCCAAACTTCGGCGGCAACATTAACACCCAAACCACCACCACGCCGCACAAATCCATTTAATCGCCCAGCTCCACCTATACCCGGTGGTACTACTACAACAAATGGCAACGATACAAATATGCCATTTATAAATGGCCATTTTGGTTCTTCGTCACAACGCAATTCCCAGTTGAGTAAGTTCGATCGACATTGTTGATTTTCGCAAAATAAACAACAAATAGTTTTGATATGGGTATTTGTTTACAAGTGTGATAAGAGCCTTTGGAGGTTTCATTAGATAAAAATTAAATTAGATTTCTTTCTTCTGATATGAACAAACAAATTGTATTGAAAACAAATGGAAACCTTTTTGATTGCTTGTAAAACCAACAATAACATTTTTAACAAATTTGTATTCACATAAAAGGGTGGATATTTAAATTTTAATTTTTTTGTGGTCCATCTAAAAATATGGATTTTTAAAAAAATATTTTTATAGAACATCTAAACACGAGAATTATATAAAAAAAAATATATTTTTTCATGTTCAATTCCATTCTAAGTCTACAGTCCGCGTGGATGTTCCTTTCATCATTTCCTAATGGTTAATTTTTCAAAGCCTACAACAAAGCGATGATTTTTTTCTTTAATTATTTCAAACTTCATCAAGCCTAGGTTTTTAAAAATTGGTTTTAAGTCTGCAGCCATCATGGGATTTTTAAAAATATATCTTTTTTTGAATATAGGTCTGTTAAAAAATCCACGCTTCTTGTAGACCTCAGAAAAAAATGTTTAAAAATCCACGAATCTTGTAGACCTCAGAAAAAAAATTTTTAAAAATCCACGAATCTTGTAGACCTCAGAAAAAAATTTTTAAAAAATCCACGAATCTTGTAGACCTCAGAATTTTTTTTTTCAAAAATCCACGCCTCTTGTTGAGGAAAAAAAAATTATTTAACAAATCCACGCCTCTTGTAGACCTCAGAAATAATTATTTAAAAAATCCACGTTTCTTGTTACTTTTTTTAATATAGGTCTGTATTCATGGTTGATTTTTATACCCTTCACCACACTGTGGTACAGGGTATTATGTCTTATTGCAACAGGCAAATGGAAACGAGATAGACACATGGTTCCTTTTGAGAATATCTATAGAATCACTTTCTGAATCGAGTTATGCATGTTCGTCCATCCGTCTGTTAATGTTAAATTGTAAACAATGTACAGGTCGCATTTATAATCCGATTTTAATGAAATTTGGCACAAGTCACTTATTTGGCCCAGGGACAAACCCTATTGAAATTGGAAAAAATCGGTTCAGATTTAGATATACCTCCCATATACAGTGGTGGTCACGCAATTAAAACATTTATTGTGGTAAACATTTTTTGATCAGCCCTCAATTCATTTGAAGTATTTTTGAAAATTTTTTAATTCAGAACACTTCCATATACTGCACTTAAGAGATTTAGTGTGAAAATAGAAAATTATTGCATGCAATTTTTCCATAAATAACGGTTTTATGAAAATACATCAACTTTGAAGTGGCCACATAATTAAAACATTGTGTGATTTTTTTACTTTACTGCATTTTTTTGAACATATTTTTAAAAATTCACTTAAATTTAGGTAAGTTATGCAAATTAAGCATCTATAAAATCATTTACAGAAAAACAATTTTGAAAAAATCTGTAAAATTTATCAAAATTGCCAAAAATTTCTACAGTACACCTAACATTCAGAAAATCACCTTTATTATAGAAAATTAAGGTTCGAATGCACCAGAAATTGCTAGAATTAGTAGAAAACAGTAAATAATTCTCAAAATAAATACATATTTGAAATAATAACTCAAAAAATGGCAATTAACTTAAAGGAACGATACAACTTCGATAGCCTTTATTGAAGAAGGCCAGAATACTTTTGCAGTACGTGAGAAAATATCGATTGATATTGGCATTTATTATATCAAATCGATTGTTCGAGTAGTACAGAACATATTTTATCAAAAAATATATCAGTCACAACAAAACGAACAGAGATCAACGCCTATGTTGACTAGTAAAAGTTTATGGCACAGAGCAGCATTAAAACCATAAATGATTTATGCTCTGATCATTTACCAGTCATCTGTGAAGTCAATACAAATACAGTAAAGGCAGAAACGTTATATTTTGACTACAATAAAGCAAATTGGTGTAGATATAAAAGGTTTATAAATAAAAACATTCCTTATACAGATGAAGCCACATTATGCACTGACTCAAACCAAATCGATTTTATGATTCAAGAGTTAACGAGAGTCATTAAAGGTGGTATAGACTTTAGCGTTCCTAAACGCGTACAATCTTATCCGAATAAGTCCATTCCACATCATATAATTATCCTAATACAGCACAGAAATGTGTACAAACGGAATTTTAAAAGATTCAGAGAAGACTCTGACCGTTATCAAATGAATCGTTTGAATAAAATCATCAACAAAGAATTATTGTCTTTTAGAAGCAAATCTTGGAATCAAATGCTATCTGAACTAGATTACGCCTCTAAGCCACTGTGGAAAGTATCAAAAGTTTTACGTCGGAAAACTAAAAACATTCCAACATTATACCACAACAACTCATCTTACTACACTCAAAAGGATAAATGTGACATAATAGCAAATCATTTTAAAACAAATCACGGCTTAACAAACAATCTTAGCGACCCAACCACTATTTGTGAAGTTAATTCATCGTCGACACAAATACAACACACAAACTCGGATACTGATGAACATTGTCTGATTAATGTTGCCAAAACCGACGGATTATTAAAAAAATTAAAGATCAGAAAAGCACCAGGAATGGATGGAACAAACAACACATGTTTAAAAAATTTAAGTAAAAAAGGGAAACAATTCCTAACTACTATTTTAAACTCATGCCTAAAATTGTCATACTTTCCAACTGCATGGAAATGTTCAAAAACAATTCCTTTACTTAAACCAAATAAGTCTCCCGATAGCCCTGCATCATACAGACCTATCAGTTTGTTGTCATCGTTAAGCAAATTATTGGAATCAGTCATCAAAGAAAAAGTTATTGATTTTACCAACCAAAAGAAAATTCTTCCACCCCAACAGTTTGGATTCCGAACGCAACATAATACCGCTCACCCTCTTTTTAAAATTAAAAACATGGTCCTCGAAAACTTTAACTTAGGTAAATCTACCGGAATGGTCTATTGGATATAAAAGCAGCTTTTGATTCTGTCTGGCATGACGGATTAATTTTCAAACTTAAGAAATTGAACTTTCCTTTATATCTTATCAAAATTATACAAAGTTTCCTAAAGGATAGATCATTTAAAGTTTACATCGGCGCCTCAGCTTCATCAAAAATCAATATTAATGCTGGATGTCCCCAAGGATCGTGTCTTTCGCCAATATTATACAACATTTTTACATACGACATACCTATAGGATGCACAACATCAATTTTTGCTGACGACACATCAATTATGTGCTCTGATATATATGCAATTAATATTATTAACACATTGGAATCGGCATTAAATAAGCTGCACTCTTATTTTCATAAATGGAAGATTTTACTAAATCCTGAAAAAACTGAAGCCATTTTCTTTACTAGGAAGCGTAAAAATTGTTTCTTACCTCACAGACCAATTATCTTAAATAACAACAACATCGAATGGAGTAATAATGTAAAATATTTAGGAATCATACTCGATAAAAGATTAACATTCAAAGCACACATTTCTTACATAATGGACAAACTAAACAAGATCACCAGAATTATGTACCCGTTGATAAATAGGAACTCCGAACTTAATGTTGAAAATAAGATGATTATCTACAAATCAATTTTTCAACCAGTAATGTTTTACTGTGCTCCAGTATGGTCTTCGTCTGCAAAATGTCATATCAAAAAACTTCAAGTTACACAAAACAAGCTACTAAAAATGATTTATAACCTTCCTTGGTTATATTCCACTAGCAGATTACACACTCTCACGGGATTCCAATCTGTTCTGGAAAGAATCAATATCTTGACGGATTTATTTAAAGACAGATGTCAAATATCTCAATACTCACATATTAATGATCTAGTGTCATAGAAATTTTAACTCTTAACTCTTAATTCATAAAAAAAAAAAAAAAATATTCAATGGGTTTTTATTTTGCTTTTTCCCCTACCTTCATCGAATGATGTATTATCAAGTATATTATTTAATCAACATAATGATATAGTAGAACAGGAATTGTATATCCCTAAGCTCTTGTCTTATAAATACTAAATTGTAAATGAATTTTATATATTACAAGCAATAAACAGAAATTGAAATTGAAAATCTTTCGATTTGCACGAAATTTGATATAGGGTACTGAATTAGGTCCAAAATGATGTGTTCTAAGTTTCATGAAGATCGGTTCAGATATAACTCCCAAAAATAATTTCGTGCCATTTTATGTAAATGGTGCATTAAGTTCCCTATACTTTTGTCCGATTTTAAGTAAATGGTGCTAAAGACCCATAGCAAGGTCGATTGACACAACGTACTGAAATTAGTATAGATTAATCTCTTGCAAGTTTCCTTGAAATCAGTTCACATTTAGATATATATATTTTTTCGTCCTATTCATGTTTACCAAATAATCAATGGGTGCATGTGTACAGTTTGCTTTAAATCTATTTACAAAATTTAGAAAAGGTTGCAGAATGGCATGTGTTGGGATTGATGTTAGTCGGTTCACGTATAAATCAAGTTCGCATATTTAAGTCCGTTCAATTTCATGTCAATGTTTCTTCGAAAAGTTCGACGTCTATTAGGACACATATGTACAATAGTACAATATACTCAAAGTGGTGAAGGGTATCATATAGTCGGCCTAGTCCGACTTTTCTTCTTTCCTTACTGGTTTTAAATATTTTTAAGGACTAGGGTCTGAGTGGATTTTTCAAAAAACAAATTTATGGTTGATTTTAAAAACTTTTCAATGCATATAACACGCGATAATTGATTTAAAATTGATTTTTATATTTTCAATAATTTTTTTTTATAATTTTCAAAAAAAAAAAAATAATATTTTCAAAAAAAATATTAAAATTTGCACAACAAATTTGCTGTTGGTTTTTTTTTTTTTTTGTGGTTGACAGTTTGTCATTTGTGCCCTTTAAAACACGATCGAATTTCATATTTTTATTTTTTGTTTTTATTTATTTACCCAAATCCCTATGTAATGAATATGAAACTGGCTTTATCAGCTCTCGGGCAGCTGATATGATGAGAAACAACAACAACACAAAACAAATGCATTCATTCAAGCATATATGTATGTAGGTATATGTCACATATGTCACCTTAAAGAGAGTTATAACGGCGGATTTAATCCCAGTCTCTCGGTCTTTATTCAGAATCACACATGAAAGTATACGGCAAAACGAAGTTTGTTGTTGCAATTCAAAAAAACAAACAAAACAAATGGAAAATATGTGTTATTTGGATTATTTTTGTTGTATCTTTCCACGAAAAGGTTATAAACTTTTCTCTGTCGTTGCAGGCAATGAAACTAGTCCTGTTGCACCGCCCCGAGGTATACCGCCAACATCATCACAATTTACCACGGGTGTTACAACGACGGCTAGAAGTGAATTTTATGTTCCTACACAGACAACAATACAACCTCTGCGCCAACAACAAAACCAGCAACCGGCCATCATCAATAAACACCAATCGAATAATGCCAATATAGCATCACTGGCTGCAACAGTATTTAAACCATCTCTAATTGATCTACAAAATCACAATAAACCAATTAATTTTGAAGATATCCATGAGCAGTTTCGTCAGCTGGTCATGAAGGATATTCTGGCCTATCAAGCCCAAAGGGAAGTGAAAAGAAGGCCTCTCATTGAATTGTAAACAAAAGAAGGAAGATTAGGGAATCTTTTTTTAATATAATTTTTGCTTATAAAAGAAATATTTTCAATTGGATTGGTTGCCCAGTGTGCTATGGAAGATTTCTTGGAAAACAAATCTACAAAACATAATTAACCCATAAGCTGAGTTTCTATTTATTACTAAACCTATAATTGTCATTATTATTATTATAATTATAAATTTAATGTCACGACCCCGATCTGTCTGTCATTAATTTCTTATTCTAAATTTGCTGTTAATTAATTAATAAATAACTGATATATTTTAGTTTCGAAATAATTTCTTGTTAAGTATAAAAAATTTATATATTAGCATTTATAAGTATTATTACAAATAAAAAACTAAAACTTAATAATAAATTTCAATTTTGTGTTTCCAAGGTCTAGGTTAGGTTACGTTAGGGGATGTGCAGTCACATATGTGGTTGCAGCACTCTGAGACCGTTAGGTCCGTTGTGCCACTTGAAGGTCTTCATCAGCGGCTACCTTGGTCGGTCTGTCATATGGCTTACGCTGCCTTTGGCTATGAACTTTGGAGTTCGCCTTACCAGAGAAGGTTGATCCCTTCTCTGTACTAAGCTGTTTCTTCGCCGTTTGTTGTCCAGCGACAGCCGCATATGAGTTAGAAGGGTCTGTCAGGCGAGAAGTCATCGTCTTCTTGGGTGAGGGTTGCGACCTTCTGAAGAGCGACATTTACTCCCCTGACGTTCCCTTCTTCCTATTTCGACCACTAGTGCTAGGCTTAGAATCGGGCTTTGAGACAGAGTCCTCCACACGTTGATCACCCTTATGGGTGATATTTTGCTTTGGGATGTTCTCAATAGCCTTTCCCTGTGCCTTTTCACTAGGGTTCGCTTTCGAGCTGGGCTTCAGGTCAGAAGTCGGCTTAGCACCTTTGTCAGAGACAGTGATCTTCGCCGATTCTACCACTTTTGTGCGAGTAGTAGGATTCGGGAGGGAGAACCTGCCGAATCCTACTACTACAGCAACCCCCCTATGTAGACTTGAAATCGGACGAAAATATATATGTGAGCTATATCAAAATCTGAGCTGATTTTCAGGTTCATCATCATTCTAGACTTAATTTAGTACACCATGCCAAATTTCCTGAAAATCGGACGAAAATATATATGGGAGCTATATCGAAATCTGACCTGATTTTCTCGAAACTTAGCACACATCATTCTGAACCTAGTTCAGTACGCTTTGCCAAATTTCGTGCAAATCGAAAGATATATAGGGACTTTGGTGCACCATTTACATAAAATCGGACGAAAATATATATGTGAGCTATATCTAAATCTGAACCGATTTTCACGATACTTGGCACACATCATTCTGGACCTAATTCAGTACGTTATGCCAAATTTCGTACAAATTAAAATATATATAGGGACTTTGGTGCCTATATCGGACAATAATATATATGGGAGCTATGCCTAAATCTGAACCGATTTTCACCAATTTCAATATGGTTCGTCATTTGGTCAAGTAAGTGACTTGTGCCAAATTCCATCCAAATCGGATCAAAAATGCGAACTGTACTTTGTTTACAATTTAACATCTACAGACGGACGGAATCAAAGGGGGTGTGAATGGAAAATACTAAAGGACTTCTGTAAAAACACAGAATTCCTAGAAGAATAGGGAGACCAAACAAAAAACTTAAAAATAATTCCAATCTAAATATCTTTCCTTCCTAGAGCGCACAACAGGCCTCCTATGGCTTAAGTGTATGTCCCATAATGGACATGTGGTGGTTTTTAAACCACCCCTCTTTTCAAACTAACTAACTACAGACGGACGAACATGCATAAACCGACTCAGAAAGTGATTCTATGGATATTCTCAAAAGGAACCATGTGTCTATCTCGTTTACTTTTGCCTGTTACAAACATATGCACAAAGACATAATACCCTGTACCACAGTGTGGTGAAGGGCATACAAATCCACGCTTCTTACAGACCTCAGAAAAAAATTTTATATCATCGTATTATTAAATTATATATAAAAACCCCCTGATTTTTGCAAAGACATTACTCAGGTCTCTTGTGGTTAGTAAAAGGAAAAATAGGTTTTCATATTTAGATAAATATTTGCTCAAGCGATTGTGTGTTCGAATTTACAATTGGAAAATAAAATTAAATTAACAATATCAGTAACAACTTGATTCCAAATATATACGGGTGTGCTTCTTTTAACATCCGTGCGCATAATAATGAAATATTATGTGATAATTTTGGGTCTCCGGCATGTACCAATAGTCGGCATCTGTTGCAAATTAATTCAAATAACTAAAAAATCGTATAACCAAATATGAAAAATATCTTGATAAATCTACAATAATATTGGTGGATTTAAATCGAGCTGGTAATGTAGAGTTCTTCAAAACGACTAAAACCTTTAATTTAAATTGACATCTTCTTAGATTTTTTAGTTAGTTTTAAACATCTCTTCAATTCATTTTTCACTAATTTTACAAATTAATTAAATACATTTTTAGAGAGTAAACTGACATTTCATTATAGTAAAAAAAATATGCACTTACCCTACCTGTTTCAATATAACCGATGAGGCATGTTATGTTATTGCTGCCAATCAAACCAAAGTGACAACTTGTGAGGCTGGAACAAAAGGATGCTATAAAAGGCTATATTTTGATGGTATTTCTTAAAACAATATTTTTTGAAAAAAAAAATTATTCTTAATTTTGGAAAAAAAAAATCAGGTGAAACAACAGTACTTTCACGTGGCTGTCATAAGGGTCCGATAAAATTCTTTCAAGATTTCAAATGTCACGGCGTATCTATACACTATGCTGTGGAAAAATGTTTTACATGCAAGGGACATTTGTGCAACAGTAGTGATTCATTATTGGCCAGTGGGAATCTGTTGTGTGGTGTAATAATATCGATGTGTGCAGTTGTATATTCATTGTAAAATGATTCCGACCAACATTAGTGGGATATATATTCGGAGGATATATTCCAACGATCAAATATCTTAAAACACCCTAAGACATTGTGCCATTCAAATATCGACTAAGAAAACAACATCTGCTTCGTTCAATTATATGTATAAATAATATTTTAATCTAGCTATATAATATAAATTGGCATATGTACACACAATATGATGACATGTAAATAATAATAAAAAATTCTTTGAGGTTATCCCTCAGCAACCCCCTATGTACCTTTAAACATTTCCAGATATTTTTCAAAACACACCGGATTAAATTGCATCAAACTTAGCTCCACATATTTACGAAAGTTTTGTAAGTTCTGCTGTTCCACACTGAGTTTTTGATGTTGCAATTCGATTAGATGCGGTATACTGGATTTCGCCTCATTTGGACTATCGGCCGGTAGAGATGGTTTATTTCTTAAAACTTGTTCCTTGACTTTATTGATTTCAATATCGGTTAATTTGGCCAATAATTCGGGTATTTTGACTTTGATTACATCCTGTGGTGATGATGTACTGTTTCCCGGGGGCTGGGGTTGCGATGTTTGTGCAAGATTACTATGGTTACGTTTTGTAGTATTTCTATCACCGGACATTTGGTTATCCAAACCTAGTATGGTGGCTAAATGTGGTTCAGCATTGGCTGGATTACCATCAGTGCCTCGATCTGTTGCTGCGAGATTTTGAAAGTTATTTATATCTTCGGGTACGCCATAAATATCGTAGAATTTATAGCCCAACATTTCCAATGCAATCTCCGTTAGTAAATATGACATTTTTGCGGGAATTTGTTGGATTTTCTATTGAATATTTCAATTTTTTTTCTGGTTTCTCTGTTTAGTTTGTTTACAAGCGATAAATTCAGTAAATTATTAGGGTAGTTTAGATCGATTTTCGACCAAACCTGTCTGATGGATTTTGGCCTATTAATAAGGTAATGCAGGAAGCAAATTTTAATTCAAAATTTAATTTAGGCTACGTTTAGACCATGGCCTATAAATAAGGTCACCCAGGGATACGAGCTGGAAATCGATACCTCTCAAGTTTGCTGTCAAAATACATTATCGTGAATTGACTTCCATTATGAAAACGTAAACAAAGTCGAAATTTTTGACATTAGACTTGATAAAAAACAGCCGTTTTCCGATTTTGATTGCTACTTGTGTGATCTTATTAATAGATCTTGGTTTAGACTACTAAATCCATTCGATCTCAAATGTCAATCCACTCGATCTCAAATGTCATCCAGTTTTTTTTAAGGTCATCCAGCATCGATAGAATGGGGATGATAGATACCAAGCAACGGCTCCGATTAGCTTTAACATGGCGAAGCCCAGGCTTATCTTAGTCCCTTTTTCACTTCAATTGTAGACACTGCCCTCCCCGTGGCGTCACATGGGGTAACTATAGTGAGCTGATTTGAGCCGCGAGTTAACCTTTTATATACCTTGGTACCGCCATAAATAAAACTAATGACATCAGTTTTGAAATTCGGAGAAGGATAGCGTTGGCCAACAAATGCTACTATGGTCTGAGCAAGCAGCTCAAAATTAAATATACAACAAGTGGTACATTTTTTCAAATTTATGAAGACAAAATCTATTAATAGAATATATAATAATATTAATAGATAATTCTGGCATGTTTTTAATGCAATTGTATAAAAATTAAATTTCGGGAAACATCACCTTATTATAATGGATAAAATGCCCTAAGTAAACTCGGTTACACATTTGGTCTGTTCCCGTACAGCAAGAATATACTCGATTTTACTATTTTCTTCGATATCATAAAGGAAAAAAGTGTTATCGGAGTAAAAAATAGTAGATTCTTGCAGTACGGGGACATACCAATTGTTTGTAACCAATGTACACCAACGACGGCGTTGCCATCGCCTAATTAAACAAGTTTTGTTTTAAACAAATGAATGGTATGTTTCCGTATTGCAAGAATCTACTAATTTTTACTACGATAACGAATTTTCCTTTATGTTATCGAAGAAAATAGTAAAATCTAGTAGATTTTTGCAGTACGGGAATAGACCATAAATCTAACAAAATCAGTCAGTCCAGGGATTTCCTCAAAGATCAAACGCCGATTTCGACTTTTAAACTATGTACACACTAGCACTTTTAAGTGACAGCTATTTGTTTTATCGATTACAAACATTTCACAGCAATCATGAATAATTTTGTGTTATTGTCTGATGAATGACAAACATCGATTGGACGATAGTCGATTTACTTATCCCTACAACCACAAACAAAGAAAAAAATTTACACAATAAAACTTGTATTTTCCTTGTCGAGAAAAAGTGTTTTTTCATCGGAACGAATAAAATTTGAGGAAAAAAAATTATTGCTAAACGGCAATTGACAAAAAACACAAGTCCTCAACACACATTTCCAAAAAATTGATAACAAATTGGAATAGTTTATCCCAACTCGAAAAATATTGAATAACTAACTGCGCAGTTTGTGTGTGTGGCAGAAGAAGAGAAGCGAAAAAAAAAAGAAACACGAAAGAAAATATTAAATCCCATACCATAAAGTAATTACGTTTTATATACACGCATTGGTGGAAAAAAGACGCCCGAGTTTTGTTTAATTAATTGGATAGGAGCAGCAGACGAAGAAGATGGCTACACGTAAGAAGTCCCTTTTGAAAGTTATCATTTTGGGCGACAGCAGCGTTGGAAAAACCTCACTGATGAACCAGTATGTGAGCAAACGATTCTCAAATCAATATAAAGCCACAATTGGTGCTGATTTCTGTACGAAGGAGGTGGTGGTCGACGATCGTGTCGTTACAATGCAAATTTGGGATACTGCCGGCCAGGAACGTTTCCAATCACTGGGCGTTGCTTTTTATCGCGGCGCTGATTGTTGTGTTCTCGTCTATGACGTCACATCACCCAACTCATTCAAGAACCTCGATTCGTGGCGTGATGAATTCTTAATACAGGCCAGTCCCCGTGATCCCGAACATTTTCCGTTTGTTGTGCTGGGCAACAAAGTGGACATGGACAATCGTCAGGTGTCGACACGAAGGGCTCAACAGTGGTGTCAGTCGAAAAACGATATTCCCTATTTCGAGACATCGGCCAAGGAGGGCATCAATGTGGAGCTGGCATTCCAGACAATTGCCAAGAACGCCTTGGCCCAGGAGGCTGAAGTAGAACTCTACAATGAATTCCCCGATCAGATTCGTTTGAATGCCGATCGAAACAGTCGTCCCGGAAATGCTGATAACTGTCAATGCTAATTCTTAAGTTTCTGTTTTTTTTAAATCAATCGCGTTCGTTCTCATTCACAATTATGACGGCTGCTGCCTGGCTGGCTGATTGCCTTCAACAAAAACAAGAGTATGCATGTCGTTATTATGCTTAACGGTAATGCAATAGTTTTCCAATTTTTGTTTTGATTCTTGTTTGTCTCCCCCACACTCCAAACTTCCTTTGTTATTTTAGTTGTTCAAACGCCCCTATTTTTTGTTTTGTTCGACCGCCCTCCCCCTGTCTAGCATTGAAAGTGTCGTCAATCAAGCAAATTTGTAATTTCAAAAATATGTTTCCTTCCATGTTTCTTTTTTGGTGAATTTTGAGGATATATTACTTTCTTTTTTATATATATTTTTTAAATAAACATAATTTAAGGATTTCTAAAAGAACAACAACAAGTAAACATGTCGCTGTATGTTTATATAAGATAATATATTCGATTATTATATAGAAGAATAAAAAAACAAACCCCTTAGTAATTACACAAATTAAATCAAATTCTTTAATAAACAATTTATAAAAAACAACAACAAAAACAAACGTAATGTTCGTTCTACATGAATAGAAGAAGAAGAATAACGAAAAATAAGAAAAAAATCAATTCAGAACAAAACCGAATGGAAGCCGTAGGCCTTAGTAGCTTTTCGTGCTTTTTGTATTTTAAACAATTTTCTTAAGTATACATATTATAATTAATGATAATAAAATATAAAAACAAATAACTGTAATTAATATTCAAATAAAAGAAAACCAACAATAAAGATACAACAAGTCTCTTTTTTTGACATATAACAACGACAACAACTATGTACACGTACATATATAAATATATTACATATTCGATTTGATTAGACAGACGGAGACATGCAGGCAGTTAGTCAGTCTTTGTTGTTGCACTTTTTGTTTTGTATTTACAAAAACGACACTGTTGTTGATTTGCTTTGGTAAATCATCACTACTAATACCCTGTAGGAAAAATATTACGATATTGCTAGTACTACTGACCGGCGACTATACCCCAACACAATGCTTTTCACTATTGACATTTAATATGTGCTTGGACTAGTGACATGATCAGACAAGTCAGTAATAAGTCAATAGTTTGTAGATATAGACACAATGTCACATATGTAGACCATGTCACTAGTAAATGTTTTATAATTTATTTTTTTCACCAATTTAGTTTTTAATTACTTAATTTTCTTCACCAATCACATTTAATCAATTTAAAACTGCCTTTTTAACAAAATGTATGGCTATTGGCGCCAAAATTATTCGTAATAAAAGAAAATTAAGAAAACTAAGAAGAAGCATATACATGCTCATTACATGATATAATTTATTTTGCTCATATTTTTCACCAATTACGTTTTTAATTAATTAATTTTTCATCACCAATTACCCTTTAATCAATTTAAACGTGTTTTTTTTTTTTGACAAAATGTCTTAATAAAAGAAAACTAAGAAGAAGCATAAACATGCTCAGTTGGCTGTTAACACATAACCAAATCTTCTTCTTATTACAAGATATGTAGACAAGTTGGTGAAAATATTTTGACATGTTTTGACATGAAAATATTTTGACATAATAGCTAACAATAACGATACAACACCCCGTCATTTCCTTCAGGGTATGTACGACGTTTTCAATGAAATGTATACATATCTACACACATAAATCTTCATTGTTTTTTTGCTCCTGTGTGAACTTGTATATTTTCGTTTATTTTTTTCGTTTCTTTGAACCTTCAGCTTTAGCTGTGTTTCTTATCAATGAATGAATAGACAAAACACACAATAATGATGATGGTGACTCACTCATTAGTATTGTTGTTGTTGTTTTTGCATGCATATTTATTTACAAGAAAAATTTTAATGTGATTATTATTATTATTACATTGTTTTGATTTTTCTTTTTTTTTCTCAAATCAAATCATTGAAAAACAACTGCAACGTGCACATTGGCTATTTTGTTTATCAAAATATTTTACTGAAATTCCAAACCAACAAAAAAGGGCATTTAGATAGATAATGCATGATCATACGAGTCTTATTTGTAATTGTATTTTTATCTTGGCTAGTCATGGGGGCAAAAAGGTATTCGCGGGAAACTTCATTCTGGTAACTGCATTCAGTGCGTTGACATTTATTATTATTTATGATTAATTTGACGTATAATGTATGGAAAAGTACGTCCCTTGATCTAATAAAGATTATCATCGTGATAGGCGTAAATGTATACGTATTATCGAAACACCTGTTAATAGGTGTGTTCCATAACTCAATAATTTGTAGCATATTTCTACATTTTGATTGTAAAGCCCCCAATAGAGTTTTTATTGCAAATTTTTTTACCAACTGTTGTGGTAAAATAATTTGCAATAACAAACGGATTCATAAAATTTTTACACAAATCCACAAATAATTGTATTGCCGGACATGATCTTCAAAAACAGAAATTTAAATTCATAATTCAGGGTTTCTTTATTAATTTTTGGGTTTAAATTAATTTTAAGCGGTATACACACTAGCACTTTTAAAAAACGCACTTTGACAGTTAATCAAGCCATCAGCTGCACTAAATGGAATACCAATTTATTGTGTCATAAGTTTCCCCTTTATTTATGACATCTGTCACACGTGTAACACCATGGGATGACAATATGAACCTGTTGATGCTTCTTCTTCCCTCTATATTTCTCATAACGATGCAAAGTGAAATGATACCACGCCTCTCGATTTCTTTTATTATTTCACAATTGTCTCTCTCCCACGCTCTCACTCTCTCTCACCAATTCGCTTTCTAAATTTGTTATATACTTGGTCTGTTCCCGTACTGCAAGAATCTACTACTTTTTACTACGATAACGAATTTTCTTTTATGATATCGAAGAAAATAGTAAAATCTAGTAGATTCTTGCAGTACGGGAATAGAACAACAATATTTATTAATGGTGTTTTTACACGGTATGTATTTTACATATGTGCTGTCACTTTTTTACATATGGAAATCGAACTCGTCATGTGAAACATACGGGAAATTTCAATGTGTCAAACCGATATGCAATTACATATGTATTTTTTCCGAATAGGACGCGCTCTATTTTCATATGTGAAACATAAAGAAATCAGCTGTTTGAATGAAAGACATTGTTGGAAGAAAATATTTCAATGGCAAGTCAAAGAAAAGTATGAAAAGGCAACGATTACAAATTATTATTTCGTTTGTAGGTGTTTAATAAAAAAAGATGTTGATTTAAGAAAAAAATAAAAGAGTTTTTTTTGTTTATAGGTCATGTCATATGTAAAATACATATGCCAATTTGAACACAAAAAATAAATGTTTTGTGTACGCTGCTAATTTTGACACACATATGTAAAATACATATCGTGTAAAACACCATTAATAACTGTTTCCCCTTTGCCATTTCACTGGCCCTTGCCACACGTGTAACACAATGGTACACCAACATCAACCTGTTGATGCTTCTTCTTTACTCTAACCATGCAAAGTGAAATGATAGCCCGCTATGGTTTTCTTTTTTTTCATTTCACAATTATCTCTCTCCCACGTTCTCTCTCTCTCGCTCACCAATTCGATTTCTAAATTTGTCATATTGTTGTCGTATTTCGTTATTTCGCATGTGTTTGCCAGAAAATGCATCTTAGAAATCAGTGATTTATATAAAGGTGCAATTAACGGAACACAAAATTGTTTAAAGAAACGACAGCAATAAAAATATTAAAATAAGCTTTTAAAAAATAAACTGTGATAAAAACTATAAGAAAATTCCCCTAGCAACAAAAGAATAATTTTAGTACCTAATTGTTAGAAAGTTGTTTCTGGTTTTTCTTTCTAACTACTTTTTTATACAACTGTGATAAATTTGCTCAAGGGTGGTTATTGCGATTTGCCAGTCTTTCTTGTCGTACTATAGTCTGAAACGAAGGTTGTTACGTAGTTTCAAATATTTTGTTAATACCAAAACTTTAATTTGCGATAAACAAATATAGTTTGTAGTTGTTGTTATAATCGTGTTTTTTGTTCTTTTTCAACAGACGGCTGATCTTTGGACAGCAGAGTGACGAACGGGGTTTTGGTGTATTTTACAGTGTCGGGGAGTTCTGCGAAACACGAGAACCAACATACACACACGCACACACATCTTGCATAATGAAAATTTGGACGTCGGAACACACATTCAACCACCCATGGGAGACGGTGGCTCAAGCAGCGTGGCGTAAATATCCCAACCCCATGACACCGTCCATTATTGGCACCGATGTGGTCGAGCGCAAAGTGGTGGATGGTGTTTTGCACACCCACCGCCTGGTCCAGTCCAAATGGTATTTCCCCAAGTGGACCCATAAAATAATTGGCACAGCCAAATCATGTTTTGCCAGCGAACGCTCATTGGTGGACCCCTCGAAGCGACAAATGATCCTGAAGACTGTAAATTTGACATTCTGCCGTCACATATCGGTGGACGAAATCATATACTACGAACCACATCCCAAGGATCCCACGAAAACATTGCTAAGACAAGAGGCTTCAGTGACAGTGCATGGTGTGCCGTTGTCCCATTACATGGAGGATATGGTCACTTCGAATATTAGCTTGAATGCGGGTAAAGGACGATTGGGTCTGGAATGGGTAATTGGCCGGATAAATGCCGAAGTTAAGGGTATTGCAGAGACAGCAGCCAAGAGCACAGATGATTTGATAATGACCACACGACGCTCCCTGGATGATATGACGGAAAGTGCACGAAAGAGTATGGATGAAATAAGCGCGCAGGCCGCTAAGCACATGCACATTTAAAGTCGTAACAAAAAACCTGAGGAAATAGAAAAACAAACAGCAGACAGACAGTGCCCATTTGCGGGGCCTCATGAGCGGGTGGCAAGTGAGGGTGGCCTCAGCATCCAGAGTTATGATAATGGTAGTACTGCTGCACTGATTAGGATTAGTTTTACATTGTGAGAAATGTTAATATAGATGAAGAAGATGATGATGATGAGTCCATGAGCCTGTGTGTGGAGAAAATGATAGTACAACTTTTTGCGAAATGTCAAACAGAAGCCATCTTTCGCAAAAACCCTACAGAAAAAAAATTAGAAAAAGAAAAGAAACCGTTGCTGTGTATCCTCTGTTTCAAAAGTTATTTCTTCTGCTTAGTCTTCTTTATATATTTTATAATGTTTTTAAAATACCCATACAGTTATACCACCAGAATAGAGTTTCTTTGCGAGATATGTTTATTTGTTTTATCACTTTTTTCAAATGACATTTCCGTATAATATACAGTAAAACTTACTTTCCAATACATGGCTTTTTCATTTGTAAACCCCAATATACATATGTTATTTATTATTTTAGTTTGTAAACCAACCAACAAATATATATCTAGTTGCCATTTTCCAAACCTATTGCCCGCTCTCCCTGCAAATCATGCCGCAGCCAATTGTCTCATGCCCAATAAACAACAACAACATAGTGGTGTTTTTGTAATTCAAAAATTCAAATTAAAAATTAATCAATAAATTAAAAAACAAAGTATATTTACCAATTCTAATTGCTAAGTTATTACCTATATGAAAATGAATTGTTTATATATATATATGATGTATGTATGTATTGTACGATAATAATGCTATTGAAAAAAAATGAAAAGAGAAAAAAGAAAACGAAACAAATAATTCAAAAAATTTTGTGCGATTTAATACAACCGAAATACGTGAAGCAAACATCTTTTTTTTTTTCTTTTGTGAAAATTGGAAAAATATATAAATAAAACAAAAACACATATAGTTTTCTGTAAGAACAAAAACAAAAAAAAAAATGAAATTGTTGTTATTTTTGAAATCAACCAACAAAAAAAGGGGGGAGGAAGCACACACGTGAATCTAATGTGAACAAGTTGGCAATAAGATTTAATGCGTATCTGTGAGGAAAATTTTTAAAATGTCAATATGATGATACACACACATATGTGTTATTATTTACCCATGTGATATAAACAAAATATAGCGCATTATTTAATACAACCATACAATTTAATACGTCACAGTTTACTTCCTATTATGAAATGGCATTTTGAATTCCTCTTATATGCGATGAAGAAGACCAATTAAAATTAATAAAAAAACCTGTTGAATATTCTGCCTTGATATTTAATGTACTTGCATGTGGATGTTAAAAAAAAATATTTGTAAAAAAAAATAATTAAAAATTTTATTCAAAAAAAAATGTTTTTAATATTTTTAAAAATTCAAGGCGTGGATTTTTTAAAAAATATTTTCTAAGGGAGGCTACTAAAAGGCGTGGATTTTTTAAAAAATATTTTCTAAGGGAGGCTACTAAAAGGCGTGGATTTTTTAAAAAATATTTTCTAAGGATTTTTTAAAAAATATTCCCTAAGAATTTTTTAAAAAATATTTTCTAAAGATTTTTTAAAAAATATATTTTCTGTGGCGAGGTTTTTTAAAACAAATATTTTTTAAGGCGTGGATTTTTAAGACAAATATTTTTTAAGTCGTGATTTTTAAAACAAATATTTTTTAAGGATTTTCAAAAAATATATTTTCTAAGGCGTGGATTTTTAAAACAAATATTTTTTAAGTCGTGATTTTTAAAACAAATATTTTTTAAGGATTTTCAAAAAATATATTTTCTAAGGCGTGGATTTTTAAAACAAATATTTTTTTAAGGCATGGATTTAAAAAAAAAAAAAAAATTGAGGCGTCAATTTTTTTAGAAATATTTTTAAGGCGTCAATATTTTAGAAATATTTTTAAGGCGTCAATTTTTTAGAAATATTTTTATTTATTTATTTATTTATTATAGTATTAACATTGTAGTAAATACAATGCTAATAATAAGAGTATCTAGCATTGGCTACAATGGCCATCAGCTAAATCGGTTGACAATTCTTAATAATTTTATTAAATAGTAATTTTAAGATGACGTATGTAGTTAAATATCTTATTAATATTGACAGTAGTAGGTGATATTAAAATATTCGTTCCATCGTTGTTGAGGTAGTTGAGGCGGGCTCTGTCGAAAGCGTTGCATGTTTCTAAAATATGTTGTGCTGTGTAGACATTTCCACATTTGGGACACTTGTTGTCAAAACTTGTGTTAATGAGATGTTGGTGTGTGGCAATAGTATGACCCATTCGAAGTCTCGAAAATATGCGCACTTGCTTTTTAGGTACATTGGTAGGATAGACGGGCACTATGCAGTTAGGATTTATTTTGTTATAGTGCACATGTTCAAATAACATGTGTTGTTGTTTAGCATTTTGTTTAAGTTTGTGTTTTATAAATGTTTTTAAATCTATTTTTTCGATTATTCCATCTAACAACACTGGAGCGGTGCAGGCGTACTTTGCTGCTTTATCGGCGTTTTCGTTTCCTTCAATTCCAACGTGACCAGGTACCCAGAAAAGTTTTATGTAGTTGTTCTCGGTTAGCAAATCCCGAATTTTGTTAATTGAAGCCCAACTGTTGTTTGATGTACATAACACCGATTTTAGAACCGATAAACTGTCGGAAATAATTATTGTTTCTTGTTGTGAATGGATTGCAATATTGATAGCTTCTATAATGCCAGCAGCTTCGGCCGTGAAGATAGATGAAAAATCAGCAAGGGTTTTAATGGATAGAGTATCGCCATTGGAATCAACAACTGCGTATGCGGAGACTGAGTTTGTTTTAGAGGCATCAGTGTATAAGAACTGCCAAGACGAGTGCTGCAAGGAAAAAAATCGAAAATGGTGTGCGTATATTTCGTTTGAAGTTCCATTTTTTCCTAGAATGCTGAGAGATGTATCGCACGATTTGTCCGAAAAAAGCCATGAAGGGCATTTAGGTTTAAAACATGTAACCTTATCCCTAAAGTTTACTATGTTATTCCTAATAGAATAGTAAACAACTGATGTTTTTTTAGGTTTTCGTTTTGTTTTTAAAATTTTCGATACATCAGTGTTAATAACGGAAGACTTGGATGACAGGATTTTAGGCAGTAACATATTCCTAGACTCGAGAATTCTATGCTCGAGAGAAGGCAATCCAGATTCAATCAGTAAGGTTTTGATGGGAGTAGTTCTATATGCGTATGTGCTGGCCCTGATGCTATCGTGGTATACGGCTTTAATAAGTTTCAAAGTTGAAACAGGACTGTCCCCAAAAAGGTACAAACCGTAGTCAATTTTGCTTAGCACCAATGTCTTTACCAAGTAAGTAAGGGTGTTGATGTGGGCGAAACTTTTATGTGAAAGGTACTTTATAATGTTTAAACGGGGTATAAGGTCCTTTTTTAATTTAAGTATGTGTTCGTTCCACCGATAGTTTTTTTGAAAAATTACACCCAGGATCTTAAGCTTCTTGACGTAGGGAATGCTAACACCGTTGATTATTATGTTGGTGGGTTTACAGCTATGCTTCCGACATATATGTAGAATTGAAGATTTTGTAGGAGAGATTTTGGCACCAGATGTTTTGGCCCAAGTGTTGATATCATTTATAATGTTAGAAAATTGAATGTTGGCAGCATCGTTATCTTTATTCGAGCTCAGAATGTATAGGTCGTCAGCGTAAAGGCAATGATATATTTTAGGATATTTGTTTATGATGTTGCTGATTTGGTTAAAGGCTATTTGAAAAAGCACTACCGACAGTGGTGACCCTTGAGGTATACCATTATTCATAGCAAACTGGTTTGAGTAATAGTTATTGATTTTGACTTTAAAAGTGCGCCCAGTCAAAAATGACTTGATGAAATTTAAAATTTTCCTTCCAACTCCCCATGATTTCAGCGAATCTAATATTATATGTATACCGATGCGATCAAATGCTTTTTCAAAGTCTATCGAAAGTACTGATGTGTGACTTCTTGCTGATATGGATTTGGATGCATAAAAGTCGATGTGTAAAAGTACGTCTGTACAACCTTGGTTTGCTTTATAAGCAACTTGATTAATAGAAATTAAATTGCGAGCATTCAAAAACCATGATAAGCGGTTGGAGATTATCCTTTCCAACAGTTTAGACAGGCAGGGCAGCAAAGATATAGGCCGGTATCCAGAAAACTCCGTTTTACTTTTATTTGGTTTGGGCAAAGGAACTATGACTGCCGATTTCCATGAATGGGGGATGATTCCGGTGTCAAAGACTGAGTTGTAAAAAGACAGTAATTTATGTTTGCTTTTGTTAGATAGATTCTTCAACATGGGATACGAAATATTATCGCGGCCATGGCGTGGCGCCTTTAACTTTACCAAAAGCTATTTGCATTTCCTTAAATACAATTTCACCCTCAATTGTAGCAGCTTGCTTATTTAATGCAGGATTAGAAAAGGATGCAAGATTGAACTTAGCAGCGCAAAACTCCGGAGAAAAGTTGATATTTGATGATTCGACCGACCATTTATTTCCAAAATGGTTGGCTATATCGATGGGATCGTTGATACATATGTCATTGGATATCATTGACGTGAAAAGGTTGAAGTTACCTTTTCTAGATATTTTGTTAATTTTATGCCACACAAGGCTGAGAGGTAGATCACGGCTAATAGTTTTTGTGAAATTATAAAAACACAATGCCTTTTGTTTTTTAGATACAAATCTAAATTTTGCGTTGGCCTTTTTGTATAAAAGAAGATTATCGGGTGAAGGAGCCTTTTTAAAAGCACGATAGAGGCAAACCTTGTTCTGGCGTAGGGTGTATAACTCCTTATTCCACCATGGAACAGATCTTTTGGTTGTATGTCTTGTAGTTGGGATACTATTATTGGCTGCATTTCTAATTGCTTTCGTGAA